AGGAAGCCCAATGAGGGGCTCGATCCCAAGCCCCTGGGATCGCGAACTGAGCTGAAGGCAGACGCTTAACGACTGAGCCACCCAGGCACCCCTGCCTTGTACACTTTGAATATCTTACAGTTTTGTCAATTATACCTCCATAAAGCTGAAAAAATAAAAAGAAATAAAAGAGAAAAGAAATAAAACAAACCAAAAAACCTCCCAAAAGTATGAGCTTGAGTTTGTGATAAACCTCTTGGCCCTATCCATGGCTTCGTGATCTTGGGAAAGTCACTTAAATTCTCTCAGTGTCTCAATTTTCCTCATCTTTTTGTAAAGTGATGCCTACACCCCTTGCTCTCCAGTGGTATAAATTTCAAATAGTCTGCCCCTGGCAGAAGAGGTTGGGAGAGATTAGAGACCTCTCACGTGACCATGCGGTGAGGCGGAGGGCCGCCGCGGTGGTGTGCACAAAGCAGGTGTTTTGGCCATGGACAAGCCTGCATGGCAATCCCAACTCTGCCTGTCATTTGAGCAAGTTATTAAATCTCTAGAAGTCTCTTCAATCTGTAAAATGCAACATTGTTGAGGTACAGATAAACATAAGCTCCTGACAGACAATAGGCCATTAATAAATGGTGACTGTTGTTATTTTTATTATCAGTTACTGAATTATGATGAATAGTTAGCAGGTTCAAAATATCAAGATTTATTTTCTAAAACCATGCCTACTCATTCACTTTGATCCCCAGGAAAGAGCCAATACAGAATTGGGCTGTCCTTCTAGGAAACTGAATCCCGTGTTTTTCTGTACTAAATGCTTGGGGCTAATTCTGGAAGCTTATCCTCATACACATCACACCTTGAGAAAACCTGGACAGGTACTTCTCTTCCCCCTTAGAAGCCTCTGCCTGAGTCCCCACTTCTTTGACCACAGGAATTCTGGTAGTCTGTTGGGATCTCAAAACTTACCTTGCATTCTAAAGAGGGTAAAATTATAATGCAGTAATTCCCAATGCTTTTTAGCATGAGGATCTCATCTTAAGGCAAAAATAATTTCAAGGAATCCCATAAAATAACAGTTCTATTTTAAGTAGCTTTTGATTGAGAACATACGTGAAAAAATTTAGCAATGGTGAAAAGTTAGAGGATCCTCTCAAACATTTTTTTCGAGTAGGTAATATATGAGCCTGATAGAAAATTCACAAGGTACCAAAGGGAACAGTACTTGCGGTCTACTGTCACTCAGTGTCCTTCCCAGAGCCAATTGTTGTTTCGATTTCTGCTCTTTCAAAGGTAATCTATATTTTACAAATACTTTCATATCTATCCTTTAAAAAAAGTCAAAATGATAGCATATCTTTCCACTGTTCTTCATACTTGACAATGTCTTGTTATACTTTAAATGGGAAATGTGAAAAAAAAAGAGAGAAGAATGTGTATTTTTATTCCTCACAGTGGCATCTACTATTGAAAAGTTAGATTGTCTTTATTAATATACAGAAAGTCCAAGAGTACATCAACTGTACACCACCTAGAGATTCTCAGCTCTGAGATTAGGAACCACTGGTGTAAGTAAGTTATCAATGATAATCAACATTAATTTTGGCCCTACTCTGTATCAGGCATTGTTCTAAGCACTTTACACTTGTTATCTCACATAATCCTTCAAATCCTTCTAGTCTCAGCTTAAATGTTATCTCCTTAGAGAAGCTCTCTATGATCCAACTATACCTGCCCTTTCCCCTTTCCATTATTCCCTAGCATTTAATCCTGTTTATTTCCTTCAGGAGATGAATCATTCTATATAATTAGTTACCTATTTGTCTGCTTGTTTACTGTTGTCTTCCCAACAGTACGTGTCTTACGAGCAAGGACAGAATCAGTTTGGCTCCCTGCAGTATATCCAGTGGCCAGTACCGTGTCTTAGTGCTTGGTGCAGAGGAGCCATTCACTGGATATTTATTAAGTATATCATGAGCAAAAACCAACTTTATGAGGTAGACCCTATTATTATCTGTCATACAAATGAGGAAACCAAGGCCTAGGGAGAAAAACAGTCTCATTCCAAAGGTAGTAAATTACAAAATTGGTTTGAAACCCAGCTCTGCGGGCGCCTGGGTGGCTCAGTCATGAAGTGTCTCTCTTCGGCTCAGGTCGTGATCCCAGGGTCCTGGGATTGAGCCCCGCATCGGGCTCCCTGCTCCTCGGGAAGGCTGCTTCTCCCTCTCCCACTCCCCCTGCTTGTGTTCCCTCTCTCACTGTGTCTCTCCCTGTCAAATAAATAAATAAAATCTTTAAAAAAAAAAGAAAGAAAGAAAGAAAGAAACCCAGCTCTGCCTGACCCCAGAGCACAAGCTCTTTACCACTACTCTGTTGTCAGAAATGGAAGACTGGCACTCGCTTCAGCAGCACATATACTAAAACTGGAATGATACAGAGAAGATTAGCATGGCCCCTGCACAAGGATGACATGCAAATTTGTGAAGCGTTCCATATTTTTGCCCCACATCGGGCTCCCTGCTCAGCGGGAAGCCTGCTTCTCCCCCCACCTCTGCTTGTGTTCCCTCTCCCGCTCTGTCTCTCTCTGTCAAATAAATAAATAAAATCTTAAAAAAAAAAAAAAGAAATGGAAGACTGAGTACAGTCCTGGCCATGTGTGATCTTGAGTAAGTCCCTTTTCCTCCCTAGGACTGTTTGCTCCATGGGAAAATGGGAGGGTGAAGTTAGCAATATTCCTCATAGTGGTGTTCTGTGATGTAGGAGATCGTGATCTATGAAAACGTAAAGGGGGACATTGAAGGGGCCAACAAGGTTGGCCTGATGCCTTTAAGAGAGATGACTTTCGATTCTTTTCTTCCTTCCCTCCTTTCCTCATGGAAGATTTGCTGCTCTTTATTCTATGCCAGGCACTGTGTCAGACATCCCTTTGAATAGGACTCCAAAGACTAATAGGACATAGTCCCTGCCGTTAAGGTGCCTGGTCCGATGGGTCTAACGCAGACCCACTAACAGCTGCATTTAGTATAGGTCAGTGCCGTAATAGGAATATGTACGAGGCACGTGGTTACATGGAAGAGGAAGGGATTGATTCCATCATGTTATATGTGTGGTGCTCGGGATGGAGGTGGATGTAAGGAAGGGAGGGATGAGGTATAATGCTGAGCTGGGCCTTGGGGAAAGAAGAGCCTTCCAGATGGACAAGACTGAGGTGGGGCTTCTGGACACAAGAGACATTGTAGGCAGAAGCACAGCAAGAAGCGACCATTGCGCTGGATTCCTAGGGTAGGGGGCTGGCTCCCACAGTATGGAGCTGGTTAGGTAGAGGGAGCCCAGGAAGAGTCAGGCTGAAGAGTTTGGACTTGACTCCTGAGAGCTGTAGCATGGCCAACTGATATATACGTTTTCTTTCTTTTTTTTTTTTTTTTAAGATTTTATTTATTTATTTAACAGAGAGACACAACGAGAGAAGGAACACAAGCAGGGGGAGTGGGAGAGGGAGAAGCAGGCTCCCTGCTGAGCAGGGAGCCCGATGCGGGGCTCGATCCCAGGACCCTGGGATCATGACCTGAGCCGAAGGCAGACGCTTAACGACTGAGCCACCCAGGCGCCCCTTACGTTTTATTTTTCGAAGGATGACTCTGACAGGGGTAGGACTGGAGGAGGCTGATGAGGCAAACAGTGGGGAAACTAGTTAGGAGGCTTTGCAGTAGTCCAGGTGAGAGATGATGAGCGCTCAGCCCTAAGGCAGGGTTCCTTCACAGCAGGGTTGGAGAGGAGCTGGATCCATTGGAGATTTCTTAAAAGGTAGAGCAGAAGGACCTGGTGATTGACTGGATGAGGGAGAATAAGAAGAGACTAAGGGACTTACTGGAATGGATCAGGAGGCCAAGTATAAAATGCTGCCATTAACAATTGTAGGGAATTTGGAGTGGGTGGGAGAAACAATGTTGTTGGCTTTGGATATGTTAAGTTTGAGGTGGCTCTTAGACAGCCAGCAGGAAAGGTCTAGCTGTGTCCTTCCTTTCCAGAATAGCAGTCCAAGCCTGAGCCAGACATCCCTGGGCCCATTTCCTGCGAGGCCCAGGCAGGGATAAAATTCTCCAAGACCTGAGTGGAATTCCTGAGTTCCACATCCTTCAAGGATATAAGCTGGGAATTGAAAACTCCCTAGATCCTTATTGATAGGAGGCGAACGGGTCGTGGATTTGCTTTTTAAACTCAGACGTTGGCTCCAGTGGATCAAACTCTCCTGTCCCTTGCAAGGACCAGACTTTTAAAAAAGAAACCATTTCCTATGGAGCAGCCTCTGGCCCTGACAGGCTCTGGATCTCGAGTTGGCTCCCAAGAAGCCCCCACTTCCCTTAGGGAACAGCTTTTTTAAAGGAAGATGAGGTCGTACAGCGTGTAGCCTGGTCCAGCCTGGCCGCTGCAGAAAGTCCAGAGTCTTGGGGACTGGACCCTCTCCCAGCCACCAACCTTGGTTAGGTGTCCTCAATGCCGAGACAAGACTGCACGTAGCCCTAACTCTTTCCAAAATGACGGGACCGGAACCCTTCCCCACCTCAGTTCGAATCCCTAGAGCTCACCAGGCCGTGGCAGGGCCGAACACGTGGGCTCCATTAGGGGCCGGCCTCTAGGGTCCTCCGGGGGAAGGGGACAACCTAGGAGGAGGAAGGCTGGCCCGCCACACCGAGCGTGGTAATCTCCCTGGCGGCTCCAGCCCACCGCCGAAGGCAGGGGCACGCCCTGTGACCCACTCCCACGTTCATAGGACCGTGCCAGAATCCCTTTTCTCTACTCCGCCCTCTCCTCCCGCACCGTCCCACTGTCCTGCCCATAAAACGGACGAGCAAAGGTAGCAAGATTCCTCCCACGCCCCTGCGGGCCGCGAAATCGGGCGCTAAAGCAGTGCAGTCCCGAGCTTCCCCTGCAGAAGCCGCGCTCCTCGCTCGGTCCTGGGGTTGAGGGGGCGCGAGAGAGCAAGTGGGCGGGCGTCCTATTCTCCGCATCCTCCTCCAGGTCCTGGCGCGCAGGGTGGGAGCGCCGCGCCGCTCCGCGCTGCGCATCGCGGCCCGCTTGCCGCCTGCCCCCTGCCCTCGCTGGGCCGCCTCCCCCGGCTGCCGGTGGAGGGCTCCGAGGCGCTAACGTTACGCTGTTTCCGGTTTTCTAGCGGGCTCTGTTTCCCCTCCCAAGGCGGCGGCGGCGGAGCGGCGGAGCCCCCCAAATGGCCTGGCCAGATGCGGCAGGTTTGCTGCTCAGCGCTGCCGCCGCCGCCACTGGAGAAGGCTCGGTGCAGCAGCTACAGCGACAGCAGCAGCAGCGGCGGCAGCAGCGAGAGGAGCAGCAGCGGCAGCAGCAGCGGCAGCAGGAGCAGCAGCGGCAGCAGCGGCGGCAGCATCTCCCGTACCGCTGCGCCCCCAGAGCCGCGGCCGCCGCAACAGCCGCAGCCCCGCAGCTCCGCAGCCCGGAGAGCCGCCGCCCGCTCTCGAGCTGCAGCCGCCGGCGGCATGAGGCGCGACCCGGCCCCCGGCTTCTCCATGCTGCTCTTCGGTGTGTCGCTCGCCTGCTACTCGCCTAGCCTCAAGTCGGTGCAGGACCAGGCGTACAAGGCACCGGTGGTGGTGGAGGGCAAGGTACAGGGGCTGGCCCCAGCCGGCGGCTCCAGCTCCAACAGCACCCGCGAGCCGCCCGCCTCGGGTCGGGTGGCGCTGGTGAAGGTGCTGGACAAGTGGCCGCTCCGGAGCGGGGGGCTGCAGCGCGAGCAGGTGATCAGCGTGGGCTCCTGTGCGCCGCTCGAAAGGAACCAGCGCTACATCTTTTTCCTGGAGCCCACGGAGCAGCCCTTAGTCTTTAAGACGGCCTTTGCCCCCATCGACACCAACGGCAAAAACCTCAAGAAAGAGGTGGGCAAGATCCTGTGCACTGACTGCGGTGAGTCGCCCCCTCCCTCTGCTAGAGAAAGGGGGGAGGGGCGAGGTGGTGGAGAATGGGGGTGGGGCGGGGAGGTGCTGCAGGTGCCCAGGCCTGGCAGCGCCCGGCTGCGGGGGAGGAGGG